CGTGCTTTAAATACCGCTCTTGCCATTGGACACACTCACGTGATAACATATATGTACTCCAATATAACAAAAATTTGGAGAACAACAATGTTAGCTGCTCAGGACTCTACCATTCTGAATTTTTTTTATTTTCTTTTATTTATGATAGTCACACAAAATGAGAGAGAGAGAGGCAGAGACACAGGCAGAGGGAGAAGCAGGCTCCATGCACCGGGAGCCCGACGTGGGATTCGATCCTCCGTCTCCAGGATCGCGCCCTGGGCCAAAGGCGGGCGCTAAACCGCTGCGCCACCCAGGGATCCCCCATTCTGAATTTTTATAATAGGTTTAGCTCTTAGCAACCTGAGCAAAATGAATAATTCTTGTTATTTAATTTATTCAGATACACAGAAAGAAATAAACTAGATTCATTAAGTGCTGAAATGTAATTAATTAAATTGTCTTTACAGTATGCCCATATCTTGCTGGATAGAGAGAGCAGACCTGATGACTTTTATCAATGTGGATACCCCTTTCAAAAGATGAGCAGGTGTGCATAAAAACCATGTTAGCAAAGCCATTCCTTTGCTAAACAAATGCTCATGGGCTTTTAAAGAAGTGAAGATCGGGGATCCCTGGGTGGCGCAGCGGTTTAGTTCCTGCCTTTGGCCCAGGGCGCGATCCTGGAGACCCGGGATCGAATCCCACGTCGGGCTCCCGGTGCATGGGGCCTGCTTCTCCCTCTGCCTGTGTCTCTGCCTCTCTCTATCTCTCTCTCTCTCTCTCTCTCTCTGTGTGTGTGTGACTATCATAAATAAATAAATAAATAAATAAATAAATAAATAAATAAATAAATAAGGAAAAAAAAAAGAAGTGAAGACCTTAGAGAAGAATTTAAAAGCAAGCATAGCTCCTAACTTAAAAATTACAAAGGTACAACCAAATACAGAATAGTGCTATAAATAGCTTTCTATGTTAATGCAAAAATACTATATAGAAATGAGCTCCCACCATGCCTTGCTATTTAAATGATTAATAGTCATATATTAACACACTAAATATCACCTAAGAACATATGTATAACATTAATCATTGCTGTACTGTTCGCAAGAGTGTAAAAATTGGAAAAAATAAAAAAAACACCTGCCAAATGTTCATCAATAGAAAACTATGTTGGGATCCCTGGGTGGCGCAGCGGTTTGGCGCCTGCCTTTGGCCCAGGGCGCGATCCTGGAGACCCCGGATCGAATCCCACGTCGGGCTCCCGGTGCATGGAGCCTGCTTCTCCCTCTGCCTGTGTCTCTGCCCCCCTCTCTCTCTCTGTATGACTATCGTAAATAAATTAAAAAAAAATTTTTTTTAAAAAGAAAACTATGTTAAACCAGGGTATTGGCATACAAAAGAGTATTATATAGCTGTTAAAAAAAAAAGACAGGGATCCCTGGGTGGCACAGCGGTTTAGCGCCTGCCTTTGGCCCAGGGCGCGATCCTGGAGACCCGGGATCGAATCCCACGTCAGGCTCCCGGTGCATGGAGCCTGCTTCTCCCTCTACCTGTGTCTCTGCCTCTCTCTCTCTCTCTGTGACTATCATAAATAAATAAAATTTAAAAAAAAAAGACAAAGATACTCTCTAATACGGAAATAATATAAGAAGATCTCTAATATCTCTAAAAGTGGGGGTGGGGGGATGCCTGGCTGTCTGTCAGTAGAGCATGTGTCCTGATCTCGGGGTTGTGAGTTCAAGCCCCACACTGAGTGTAGAGATTACTTAAAAATATAAAATCTCTTTTTAAAAGTGGGGGAAAAGTGCAGAACAGTCTAAATAGCATGTATGCTTGTATTTGCACAACAAACTCTGGAGAATCCCAAAGAAACTAAAAGTAGTTATAGAGGAATGAGAGGTGTATGGGGAGAAACTGGGTGGATGAACAATGCAGTGAAAACAGGATTTTCACTGTATGACTTTTCATTCTATTAAACTTTGAAACATAGGGGCATGTGGGTGGCTCAGTCAGTTAAGCATCTCTCTTGATTTTGGCTCAGGGCATGATCTCGAGGTCGTGAGACCGAATCAAACCTCTCCCACTGCCCTCAGCAGGGTGGGGAGGGGAGGTCTGCTGGAGATTCTTTCTCTCCTTCTCCCTTTGTCTCACCCCACCCCACCCCAGCCCCACTCTCTCTCTAAATAAATAAAATCTTTTAAATTAAAAAAAAAAACACTTTGAATCATGTAACTTATATTACTTACTCAAAAAATAATTTTCAAATAAATAATTTTTTAAAGAAGTCCCCAATGCAAGGCTTGAACTTACAACCCCAAGATTAAGACCTGAGCTGAGTGATCCCTGGGTGGCGCAGCAGTTTGGCGCCTGCCTTTGGCCCAGGGCGCGATCCTGGAGACCCGGGATCGAATCCCACATCGGGCTCCCGGTGCATGGAGCCTGCTTCTCCCTCTGCCTGTGTCTCTGCCTCTCTCTCTCTCTCTCTGTGACTATCATAAATAAATAAAAATTAAAAAAAAAAAAGACCTGAGCTGAGATCAAGAGTTGGAGGATTAATGGACTGAGCTACTCAGGCGCTCCCCAAAAATAATCATAAAAAAATTTAGGCTATTTTATTTCTACCCATCTCTAAAAAAAGAAACCTAAGTTTCAACATGAAATCAGCTGTTCTCAATAATTTCTAAATGTTTCCAGTTCAACGAGCATACAAAACTAAGGGGTTCCTCTAAAAATATAAAATAAGGAAAGCAATTCTGCTGGGCGCTGTGACCATCACTGCAGGGATGGATGGCAGAGTTGCTTTTGGAAACTATTCCACAGGCAGCAGAGCCTGAGACTTTCCAGAGAGCCAGAGGTCCCCAGCTTAGCCAGTCACCTGAAGAAAGTGGACTCTGTCATTTGCTTTGTTCTATCAGTATTAAAGGTAAGAAAAGTTCTCAAAATCAGCCTGGTCTGACTCCCCAACAAGGACGGGCCTTTGAGTTTTGTCTCAGTTCTGATGCAGAACAGCCTCCTTTCCACAAATCACCACAAGTCCAAATCCTTGTGAAAGGCAGAGGCTGGTGGCTTAGCAAGAACAGCACTAACTGGGTGGGTGACCTTGGTCATGCTAATTTATTTCTCTGGACTTCCATTTTCTTACTGGTGAAATGAATGGGTCTTGGGCCAAATTCCCAAAGGTTCCTTTCAGGGCTATGATACTATCATCCTACACAATTTAAACATCAGCTGAAGGGTGGGAGATGCTTCCAGACTATAGCATACAAGTTCATGGAAATTCTCAAGTACACAAAGGTTTGCTGACTGGGACCTGAATGTTCTGATTTTTTTTTTTTTAAGATTTTATTTATTTGAGAGAGAGAGAGAGAGAGAGAGAGAGAGAGAACCAGCAGAGGAGAGGGGCTGAGCAAGAGGGAGAAGCAGACTTCCCACCAAGAAGGAAGTAAAATCATGACCTGAGCTGAAGGCAGACTCCCAACCGACTGAGCCACCCAGGGGGCCCCTGATACTTTTTTTGTATTTTGTCTTCAACATAAGTAATGTGGTCCCCCTGCTATAAATATTTCTCACACACATAACTTCCAATTAGAAGTGATTCACAACTAGTTAACACTTTTAAAACATGGATGGAGTGGAGAGAATTAATTTCGGACAGTCAACCACTGAGAGTGTTGGTTAAGAAAAGTTTTAATTTGGGCCCGTTATCCTTTTATGATCATCATCCAAGATTCACACTTGTATTAATATCCTTTAGGGAGCAGCCTTCTAGAGATTTACCTATGCTAATTCCCACACGTGAAGGGAGGGTGAATCCTCTTCTGAGACTGCAAACTGCTGAAATCTCCAACCTCAGCAAAACATGCTCTATATTCTAATCAATAAAAGCTAAGTGATTTCAGCAAAAGAAAAAAAAAAAACAACACTCCCAAATACTTGTGCATATTTTTGTCTATTAAAAAGCAAAGTGCATGCTTCCTTTGGCATTGGTTTCATACAGTCATAATTAGAGTTTTATTAAAACACTAAAGACCCGCAGCTTTATCTTAGACTGTTTTAAAACAGCTCTTAATCATATTCATCTAGGCAAGGATTCATTCTTTGGCACAAAGGCAGCGAGAGACACAGCTCTCAGCTCTCGGCAGACTCTCTGCAGGGTGCAGGTTCATTGTCTGGTCCCTGCTTCCACCTGGCACAAACCGGACACACTGCTGGGAAACCAGCTCATCTCATTAGCATGTCTTTATTCTAAGGCTCCAATTCTGACACCTCTCCAAGATCACCAAAATCCTCATCGGGTCCTAGGCCAAAGAGAAGAGGGTAGCCACCGGTGCCCAGAAGTCTTGGGGGGGGGGGGAAGCAATGAAAAATAAAGAGCAGAGAGTTAGGTCATGCACCCGCAGTTCAGAATTGGCTGGCGCTCAATCCACTTGCGATCCTCTATCCTTCGCTGTCAAAAATCCCTCCTCCGCCTCCGACGCTTATGCCACAACCCGGAGGCTGGAGACGCTTACCTTTCTTAAGGATTCTGAAAACAAACCTTAACACTTCCATACATTTTAAATACCTGTGCCCCGTCCCCGAGCTATCCCCATCCCAAAAACCAGGTCTGCCGTTACTCCGGCAAAGGCGCAGCCGGGCTGACTGGGATACTCCGATTCCCAAACATCGTCTCACACACTTCTGGCGCTGCCGACAGCCTCTTGCACCGCGCCAGCCCTGCAAGCGCATCCCGGGCCTCCATCCTCCGGCAGGCGGGGGCCCTTCGCCCTGAGCAGCCGACTTGCAGCCCGCGCCCGTGCCTCCGTCTCCAGAGGCCTTGGGTGCGCGGACCCCGCCGGCCGCCCGGCACCGGCGCGGGGGCCGAGGCCAGGCCCACGTCCGCGCGCCCCCGGCTCCCGAGGGAAGGGGCGCACCGGGCGCAGGGGAGGGGCCCCGCCCCCCGCCCCCCGCCCCCCGCCGCCGCCCCTAGCCCCGTCCCGCTCCCGGCCCCGGGGCGCGCCCGGCCCGCCGGCCCTCACCGGACTTGGGCGGGTAGCGGTACACGGAATTGGACGGGATGTCCACCTCCTCCACGCCCGCGTGCTGCCGGCTGGTCAGGGCCCCCATGGCGCTGCGCCCGCGCCGCCCTCGCGCCTCACCGCGGCCGCTCGCCCCGCGCGCGGAGCGGGGGTCGGCTGCCCGCCGCGGCCGGCTCCGCCTCGGCGCTGCGGCTCTGGCGGCGGGGAGCCCCCGGCGCGCCGCGCACCATCCTCCGCCGGGCCCCGCGGCGGCGCCTCTGCGAGGGGGCAGCGGGTCGGGCCGGGGGCGCCGCCGCCGCCGCCGCCGCCGCCGCAGGCCGCGTGATGTCAGCGACCGCTCGCGCGCGGGGCCCGCGGAGGCGGCGGCCAATGGCGGGGCGGGGCGGGGCGGGGCGGGGCGGGGCGGCGGCGCCAGCCAATGGGCGGCGGGATGCGGCGCGAGCCGCGGGGGTCCCCGAGCTGGGAGCCCGCAGCCGGCCGGGGCCGGGCTCCTGCGGACCCCGGGGCGCCCCGGTCCCAGCCCCACGAGGGCGGTGCGCGGCCGCCCGGCGGGGGAACGGCTGCTCCAGCCGCGCCCCTGGCATCAGAGTGCGGGCAGGCGGGAGCCCGCAGAGCGGTCCCCCGGGCCCCCCCAGTGCATCCCGAGCCGAGAGAGGGCTGCGTGGAGGCAGCATCTCTCCGCCCCGGAGCGCTCCGCTGATCCCACCTCCCAGGGGTCGGGGTCGCGGAGGTTACTCAATGCTGGTGACCCGCTAGGGAGGTGACACCATCCCTCTCACGTAGCTCCGAGCTCTATCCCATGCACCATGCACGCCGTGGATGGGTCCCTGAGGCGGCTCCCGCAGCCCCGAGGTTTGGAGAGCATCAGCCCAAGATAAAGATCAAGACGTCCAACCTCTGATTGCATCTTTTGGAAACTTTGGAGGCCTGCGTGCGAAAAGTCAGCGCAGGGAAAGGAGCTCGGGGCCTGGCCGAGCAAGAGAGGCCTCCTCGATGAAAGCACGCAAGACAGTGGGAGGCTCGGACAGGCGGAAGGCAGCACTCTAAAAGCTTAATTATAGACATCCGTATTTTAAGCCTTTTATTTTATTTGTGGGTCTGGTGTTTTATTTTTGTTTTTGTTTTTGTTTTTCCCCCGAGAGGGTGGACTCATCAGCAGAAATTTCAACTGCTAGAACATGACTTCAACAACTTTTCACAATCTTTAAAGTACAGTTTCTGGAGTGTCCAGTTCCCTTGATTAAGCTCGCAAATCCTTTTTTTTTTTTTTTAATAGAGTCTAGCACTTTCCTGATTATGTTTTGCGGTTTTCATTGCCCTCTTTTCAGCAGTAGCCAACAGACCTGGTGCTAAGGGTCCGCACGTAGGCCCAGTTGCCTTGGTTTTCTCCAGAGTCCCGAGCATGGGACACCTGGGTGGCTCAGTGGTTGAGCATCTGCCTTTGGCTCCGGGCGTGATCCCCAAGTCCTGGGATCAAGTCCCACATCGGGCTCCCTGCATGGAGCCTGCTTCTCCCTCTGCCTATGTCCCTGCCTCTCTCTCTTTCTCTGCCTCTCATGAATAAATAAATAAAATCTTTAAAAAAAAAAAAAAAGTCCAGAGCAAGGCAGGAACACATTTCCATTGTTTATATTGACTGATGGCTATGAGGAGGGCTTGAGTTACAAGGCAAGTCCCTGGCCCAGACAAGCTGGTGGGCAGCCTTCTCTCCAGCACAGGGCTCCCTGACAGAGTTCAGAGCCCTACCTCCAGCCCCTGGCAGTAACCACTAGAAAGCATCCAGACATAGCTCTGGGACGGAACTCATGTCCTTCATGTTACTCCTTTCCCCAGATGCAGGTCCTACCTTATAGTACCAATAAAGTAAAATACGAGTCGTAAAGAATCTAGAACCACCTCAAGATAGAAGGCCTTCAGCACATTGCAAAGTAAAATGTAGCCTTATAATCTTGGGCTCCACTCAGAAACTTTTGTTCTTCTTGCCCTCAACATCCCACACCATCCTCCTATGGGCTTCTCCATATTTGAGGGTTTCGGTCAGAGCCAGCCGGGCATGTGGCTCAATAGGGCAGCTCAGTTCTGTCGCTTGCAAGCATCTGTTCTGGTCCCAGCTCAGCCTGCTCTGAGTCTGAGAAACAGGTTCCTTCCTCATCCTAGATAACACTGTCCAAGCCTATAACTTGGTTCCTCCTCCCACGAATGAGTCAGGAATCCAAAGCTTAGACTAGTAAAGAAAAACAAGGGATAGTGGATCCCTGGGTGGCTCAGCCGTTTGGCACCTGCCTTTGGCCCAGGGCATGATCCTGGGGTCCTGGGATTGAGTTCCGCATCGGGCTCCCTGCTTGGAGCCTGCTTCTTCCTCTGCCGGTGTCTCTGCCTCTCTCTGTGTCTCTTATGAATGAATAAATAAATCTTAAAAAAAAAAAAAAAAGAAAAGAGGGATCCCTAGGTGGCGCAGCCGTTTGGCGCCTGCCTTTGGCCCAGGGCGCGATCCTGGAGACCCGGGATCGAATCCAACGTCGGGCTCCCGGTGCATGGAGCCTGCTTCTCCCTCTGCCTGTGTCTCTGCCTCTCTCTCTCTCTCTGTGTGACTATCATAAATAAATAAAAATTTAAAAAAAAAATTTAAAAGAAAAAGAAAAGAAAAACAAGGGATAACACAATAATATTAGTGGACGTTTATTGAACACTCTCTGTGCCCAGCGCTGTTTTGAACGCTTTACATACTAAAACATTCATCTTTCAAAGCTACCCTATGAAGTATGTGCTATTAACACCCCCATTTCACAATTGAAGAAACTGACACAGAGAAAAAGCACTGATTTTGAGTTGGAATAATCAAGACCCCAGTTAGGTAACTTTGGACTAAGCTCTTACCAATTTTCAGTCTCCTCGTCTGTAAAATAACCTGGCCCCGGAGCCCCTGGCTGGCTCAGTCCATAAAGCATATGACTCTTGATCTCGGGGTTGTGAATTCAAGCCCCATGTTTGGTATAGAGATGACTTAAAGATAAATTCTTAGAGGCGTCTGGGTGGCTCAGTCAGTTAAGCATCTGCCTTTCGCTCAGGTCATTATGTCAGGATCCTGGGATCAAGTCCCACATTGCATCAGGTTCCCTCCTCAGCTGGGAGCCTACTTCTCCCTCTCAATCTGCCTGCTGCTCTGTCTACTTATGTTCTCTCTCTCACTGTCAAATAAATAAATAATATCTTTTTAAAAATAAAGATAAATTCTTTTTTAAAAAGATATTATTTATTCATGAGAGACACACACAGAGAGGCAGAGATATAGGCAGAGGAAGAAGCAGGCTCCCTGTGGGGAACCCAAGGCGGGATTTGATCCCAGGACCCTGGGATCATGCCTTGAGGCAAAGAGAGACATTTCAACCACTGAGCCACAAAAGTGCCCCAAAGATAAATTCTTAATAAGATAAAATAAAGTAAAATAACCTAACCCTCACTGGCTGTTTGTAAAGAAACATAAGTCAATCAATGTTCAGTTAAAAAGAAATAGTAGGATAAATTAAATAAATAAATAAATAAATAAATAAATAAATAAATAAATAAATAAATAAATAAATAAAATAAAAGCAATAGGGTTGCCTGGTTGGCTTAGTCGGTAGAGCATGTGACTCTTGATCTCAGGGTTGTGAGTTAAAGCCTCACACTGGGTGTGGAATCTACTCAAAAAAAGTCTTTGTAATTAATTTTAAAAATAAATAAGAAGTGATAACCAGCCCTCTAGGCTCCCGAGACAGAAGAGAAAGGGATAGGGGATAGTTCAGAGAAAATTGTAGCTTAAAGAGACTTCCTGGGAATTGAGTTCAAGTCTCACCTTCTACAATGTAATCACATGGTGTCGTCGTTTGGGAAAAGAGAGCTTCAGCCAGTGCCCAGGGCGGAGTTGAGATATGCAACCAAGCCTTTCAGCAGCCACCTTTGCGGGGCTAGTCCTGCATTCCTCTCTGGTCCTTCCGTGGCGCCACTTGGCTTGCTTGCCAGGGATCTGGGCCAGGGAGAAGGCCTGAGGGAGAAGACGGCGCAGACAAAGGAAAAATCCAGAAGCGATTGCCATCAAGAGAGCCATAAAAATGCTTTTAACTTGAATAAATGGTTTGGTGAGGGGTGGCACCACGTGCGTGGGGATGTTACATGCAAATACCAGGCATCCTTTGTGTAAATAGCCTCACAGCATCCTCTCCATTTGCATGCTACAGATGCAGCCCTTGGGAGAATCTCCGCTAAGAACCCAGCATTGAAGGGTCTCAGGGGCTTCCTCTAAGCATCCACTCAAGGCTGGGAGGTAAAAAAAAACACACACACATCCAGCTTTTCTCAACCTTGGGTCTAAGGGAGAAAGGAGAAGCGGGTGGGGGGAGCACGGGGATGAGTAATTTCGAGGTCAGCTCGTCCCTTAGAGCTTTCAATTTTGTTCATTTGGGCTGTCCTGATTTCAGCTCAGATGTGCGTTTTCCACCTTTGTGACACATCCACTCATTTGAACGATTCTCACAGATTCCTCTAACAGGAAGGAGAGGGAGCCTGCAGGTGAAAAGCTGACAGATGCTGCCCTGTTTGTAGCACAGTGTTCCCAAGACAGCCCTGGGGAAAGTGGGGGTGGGGGGGTGGAGGGCCTCCAGGACCCAAGGGGCTGGGGCCAGGGCAGGCCCCTTCTTTGCTGCTTGCTTGGCCCTTTTGTCCCTGCTAGGCTAATAGGAAGATTAGACCTCTGGCTCTTTTGAGTGAGTGCAGGGTCTCTCCAAAAGATAGGGCCCGTCAGCAACACATGGCCCCTGATACCTCTCTCAAGTCCTTGAGCCATGGTTTCAGTGGATTAAAGCTAAAACAACCAGAAACGAATTTCACATCCTATTCCCCATCAGTGGACTAGCCTGACACCGACAGAGGGTCTGATCCTAAATGCTTTCGAACCCTGCAGATGGTTCCTCTGGCAACCTACTGCTCTCTGTTGAGGAAAATAACCTTGTCCATTAGGAAGCCAGCAATCAGGCTTTTCATATTTTGCTTCTTGCCAAATGTGAATTCCTCATTGTTAGTTTCCTCCTCAGCTGTGTGCCACCAACAAAGAACTGTTCACACGGCAGCAAACTTCAGTGGGGTTTGTGGCTTCTTAATCTACTTTTCCATTTAAGACCGAAGTGAAAGATGATGCTTACACGGCCCAGCGTGGCCGAGTCCAGGGTGAGCAGGGTAAGGTGCTAGGGTGCGTGACCTTCACGTGGCGCTCACACTCACTGCCTTGCAGGCGTCTCAATGGTCTCTCCCTAGCTTTAGCCCTGCTGCCTGGGCATCTGGCATCTGCAGAAATGAGGGACCTGGGACCTTAATCCTATTCAAGACTAGTTTAAAGAAATTAGGATGGGGTGCCCGGGTGGCTCAGTGGTTGAGCATTTGCCTTCAGCTCAGGTTGTGATCCGTAATCCGGGGGTCCTGGGATTGAGTCCTGTGTCAGGCTCCTTGTGGGGAGCCTGCTTCTCCCTATGCCTACGTCTCTGCCTCTCTGTGTGTCTCTCATGAATAAATAAATAAAATCTTTAAAACAAATTAGGAGAGTCTGTTCTGTTGTACTTTATTTTAGTTTACTACCATTAAAGATTTTTCTTTGTTATTTGAGAGAGACAGGGAGGGGGATCACGAGTGGGGGGCAGAGGGAGAGGAACAAGCAGACTCCCCACTGAGCAGGGAGCCCCATCACAACCATGCAGGGCTCAGTCCCAGGACCCTGAGATCATGACCTGAGCCCAAGGCAGATGCTTAACCGACTGAGGCACCGAGGTGCCCCTATTTTCCTTTACTTCCATATCATTCTATCAAACAGCAGACCCTGTAAGGTTGTCTCAGTACACTCACTTCTGCCTTCATCCACTCAGCCCTGCTTTTGGTGTTGAGCTCAGCCCCCACCTGGGGCTGCACATTCTGCGCGATGAAGTCAGTGTGAAAAGAATGCACCGCTAGCATCTCAGCCCAGCATTGCCCTTCTCCGGTAAACACACCAGGCAGGCAAAAAGCCCAGCCTCTGTCTCCTGCGACCCAGAGAAACCAGAGTGTGAAAGAGGCAGCCGTGGTGACAGCCCCTATGCCCCTCTTTAACCAATGATTGACTGTGGTTACTTAGAAATTCAAAGGAAGAAAATGAGAACGAATTTTCATCTTTCTCCTAGGGTTTCTTAACCATGTGTGTCCTGGCTGGAGCATCAGATCTGGAAGAGGCCTAAAGGTCATCTGGTCCAGCCCCTTCACCTGACAGATGAGGCAGCTGCAGCCTGGGGAGGGCAGGGAATTGGCCCAAGGCCATACAGGTAGCAGCATGGCTCAGAACTCAGGTGTCCCAGACTCCGTGCACTGGGTCTTGCTAAGGGAAACTCGTACTGCTGGTTTGGTTTCTTTTTACTGCAGGGTAGGCTGTCTTCCAGGGCCAGGGTAAGAGGATGAATCCACTCAAGGAAAAAGCTCAGAAACCCAACACAGGCGGCGGGGATGTGATGCACGATAAACTGCGTTTGCATGGAAGTTGTCCATAACCATGCTTTGGTAGGACTTAGAAAGCCATGGAGCTTCTCTCAGCAGCACTCCCTGCCTCTACTCCTCGGAAACTGGAGCTGAAGTCAGACCCGTCACCTAACTCCTTGCAGGCCCAGGAACCACAGCGCAGATGAGAAGAGGGGAGTGAGAAAGAACAGCCACGGAGGGTCAGATCAGATTCTTATCGAGGGGGTTACAAGTGTCCTATAGGCACTCCTGGTGCAGCTCGGCTAAAGCCTGAGTGTGGGCTAAAGTCCACCACAGGCCAGTGATTCAATGACTTCATTTACAGCGACACATTTATTCCTGAGCTAATTGCTTGTTTATTTAAGTGATAACTGCTATCCTCATTAGGGCCCTTCAAAGACTCTGTGTTGCGCCCGCCTACTAATAAACAGAGACACTACCTACTGTTGTGGTTCTCACAGTACTGTTGGAAGCCCTAGATCTTTTTTATGCACCATGAGGTGTAGATTTATTATATTGCTTAGTTGTATACTGTTATCTTTTATTTATTTATTATTTTTTTTACTGTTATCTTTTATATTCCAAGATGAAATCCGTGTATGAAATCTGTCTGGCAATTTCCTTAGCTTTCTCTCTGCTCTTCCCATCTCTTGGTCCTGCTTCTAAAAATCACTCTCTGGGGATCCCTGGGTGGCTCAGCAGTTTAGCGTCTGCCTTCGGCCCAGGTCATAATCCTGGAGGACCCGGGATCGAGTCCCACCCACACGGGCTCCCTGCATGGAGCCTGCTTCTCCCTCTGCCTTTCTCTCTGTGTGTGTCTCTAATGAATAAATAAAATCTTAGAAAAAAAATTCACTCTCAGGTTAACTTTCCTGGTATGTCATTCCCTTGCCCATATATACCTTCAGTGGCTCCCTATTACTTTGAATAAGACAAGTGTTTTACCCCTGAGGTATTTCCAGCCTCTTCTTCTCATGTAACCTGTTGTACCCTGAATGCAGCTATCATTCCTACTCATGTGTTTGCTCAAGGAAAACCCTTCCATTTGTGCCATTCCTGTCTGCAGAGGTGAATCCCCTCAGCTGAAATCCAACCTTCTTCGCGAAGCTGCCCCTGAGAATCCTGGCCCACTGTTGACTCTTCTTTCTTAGAAGTCCTATTGCATGAATAAATTTCTGTATAACTTGTTTGACACTTACATACAGGACAAGGTTCAAACCCCAGCTCTTCCATTATTGTCTGTGTGCCCTGAGAAAGTTCTTCAATTTCCCTGAGCCTCAGGACGCCTGGGGGGCTCAGGTCATGATCCCAGGCTCCTGGGATCGAGTTCCACATCAGGCTCCTCTTGGGGAGCCTGCTTCTCCCTCTGTCCGTGTCTCTGTCTCTCTCTGTGTCTCTCATGAATAAATAAATAAAAACTTAAAAAAAAACAAACCCTCCCTGATCCTTACTTGTCTATAAATGACATGAGAATAGCAAAGCACTGTTTGAACATTCAGTTAGACAAGGCATAGAAAGCCCTAGCACAGTTCCTGATATACAGCAGGTGCTCAATAAATGCTAGCTTTTTTTAATTAAAAAATTTTTTTGTTCTGAAGTGGTTGAATTTCCAAGGTGATTTTTATGTCAGAATTCCAGGATTTCGGGCAGCCCGGGTAGCTCAGCGGTGTGGCGCCGCCTTCGGTCTGGGCCCTGATCCTGGTCACCCGGGATCGAGTCCCGCGTCGGACTCCCTGCGTAGAGCCTGCTTCCCTCTGCCTGTGTCTCTGCCTCTCTTTCTGTCTCTCATGAATAAATAAAAAATCTAAAAAAAAAAAAAAAAAAAAAGAATTCCAGGATTTCGTATGATAAAACCCCATTGGCTAGAGGCAGAACCCAGAGATTGGATTCTCTGAGATAGCATCTTTCCATACCCACTGGAATTCAAAATGCCAGAAACACAGTCTACCTATCACGTTTGTGGTGGCTACTAGATGGCCAGAGAAAAGGCCAGGCTTTTTCCTCCCCAAAATGCAACAGCTTCAGTCCCTGCACTCGAAGGGACTGGCACCCCTAAATGGCCCGCTAGCTCCTAAGACTTGGATCAGTCTTCTGTGGACTGGGGGAGGAGGGTGTATCTGTGAGTCGCTATTGTTAACTTTTCACTTATAAGTCATTTGCTAAC